GACTTTTCCGTTAGATGGCTTAGGGTGTACTCCAGTTTCAGGAACTAAAGGACAGAAGCTTGCCTGCCACTTGATAGACGCAATTTCTGCCGTAGCGGGTGTAGTTACATATTAAACTTTGAAGGATGAATTTAGGAAATGAGGTAGGAAGACCGCAGTCCTTAAGAAAGAGAATAGGGGCTTTTGAGCTGAAATGCTATAGAAAGATTCTCAGAATATCTTGGACAAAGAAGATGAGAAATATTGACATCTTTAAAGATCTGAACATCAAGGAAGACTGGCTAATAAACAGCATCCTTTCTCGAAAGCTGAAATATGTTGGTCATATCAAGCGCTACGACGGATTGGAAAAAATTATAGCGAAAGGCATGGTACTAGGAAGGAGGGACAGGGGCCGACCGACACAAAGATGGGCACAGGATGTAAGTGACTCCTTGAGTAGGAAAGTACATGCGGCAGGAGAAATGGCGAGAGACCGAGTTTCATTCAGGCAGACTGTGATGAAAGAGACGTTCTGCAAAGACAGTTGATGGAGAAGAACTACAGTTACTTCTCACACCAAGTGCATCATTTTGATAGGTCATTCCGTTAGCTTTCAAAACGACGTCTTATGGGCGAAATCACGAGCTGGATAGGAATGTTAAGGTTCTTCTTTTCATGGATCTCCTTCTCCCACTGCTCTTTCATCACAATCATCATCAGAATCATCATCATCATCATCGTCACAAATGTCAAACATAGACCTTTACTAAAACTAACATTCGCAGAATCGTAACCATTGAGATGAGATGTCTTAGACGAGCTGCTCACATTAAGTGGAAGACAGAGGGGTAAAAAATTAGGAATAAAGAAATTAGAAGAAGATGATTACTAAAGCCAGCCAGACAATTCATTACAGACAAGTGGAATGCCCTTGTCTGTCTAGCGAGCGAGAATGTTCTGGTACCGTCCCTAAGACCAAGACATATAACACAGAAAAGGGGTTGGATTTTAGGGACGGGGTGGGGGGTGGGCGCATTTTTGCACTCAAAATGTGTAAAGACGCCATCAAGAATGGCCTAAAAAGAAATGAAAATTAGCTTACCTAGGTCATCAGAAAGAAAACATAGATGATCCTGACAACTTAGACGAGAAGAAGAAGAAGAAGAAGAAGAAGAAGAAGAAGAAGAAGAAGAAGAAGAAGAAGAAGAAGAAGAAGAAGAAGAAGAAGAAGAAGAAGAAGAAGAAGAAGAAGAAGAAGAAGAAGAAGAAGAAGAAGAAGAAAAAGAAGAAGAAGAAGAAGAAGAAGAAGAAGAAGAAGAAGAAGAAGAAGAAGAAGAAGAAGAAGAAGAAGAAGAAAATCAATTTCATTGTCATTAATTGATTCTTCTGTTTAAAAATCCATCACCATGTCTTGGGTTCCGGCTTAACACCCTTCCCCACCCCAACCCCTTATGTCTTTGACGATATATTCGATTATTATTTGAAGTTGATCGAATGGTTTAGGAACCACTCAAACAGAACAATTTTTAAATATAGACTGGCATGTCATAATCAAGGCATTCATGTTTGTACAGTCTTATAATCTTTTCGGAAATCACTTGATTGGGTATTTGAAAATATCGATCTCGTTTTTGACCCCGCAAAAAATCAATCGATTTCGCTCAGTCCTTACAGTAAAAGTTGGTTGCAGTGGAACTCCAACACAGATCGTCTTTCGTCCTGGATGTAAACACTCTGAAATTGCTGTTTGTCCATGTTTGGATGCTGTCCTTCCGCCAGCATCGTTTTCTGTCTATTGCTCGCTTGAATTTCAACTGTTCCATCTAGTATGCTTTTTATTAATAAGATTCCTCTGTCTTTTATATGGCCGAAATCGTCACCAGGGTGTTGTTGTACTTTCTTCGGGAACTCTTTTCATTCTGAGTCTCTCTAGACGCCATGAGTTCTCTCCACCCCCCCCCCCTTTTTTTTTTCCAACCCCCACCCCAAACACACAGAAATTTGAAAACAAAATGGTAGGGGCAATAATCACTTAATGGTGCAAAGACTACTAACGCACCGCTCCGAACGATATCGGGAGAAAACGATGTCAGGAGAGACGATATCGGGAGAGAACGATATCGGCAGAGAACGATACTGGCAGAGAGCAATATTGGCAGAGAACCATATTGGCAGAGAGCTATATTGGCAGAGAGCGAAATTGGCAGAGAACGATATTGGCAGAGAACGATATTGTCAGAGAACGATATTGGCAGAGAGCGATATCAGCAGAGAGCGATTTTGGCAGTGAGTGATATTGGCAGAGAACGATATTGGCAGAGAACGACATTGGCAGAGAACTATATTGGCAGAGAACGATATTGGCAGAGAGTGATATTGGCAGAGCGATATTGGCAGAGAGCGATATTAGCAGAGAGCGATATTGGCAGAGAGCGATATTGGCAGAGAGCGATATTGGCAGAGAGCGATATTGGCAGAGAGCGATATTGGCAGAGAGCGATATTGGCAGAGAGTGATATTGGCAGAGAGCGATATTGCAGAGAGCGATATTGGCAGAGAGCGATATTGGCAGAGAGCGATATTGGCAGAGAGCGATATTGGCAGAGAGCGATATTGGCAGAGAACGATATTGGCAGAGAGCGATATTGGCAGAGAGCGATATTGGCAGAGAGCGATATTGGCAGAGAGATATTGGCAGAGAGCGATATTGGCAGAGAACGATATTGGCAGAGAGTGATATTGGCAGAGAGCGATATTGGCAGAGAGCGATATTGGCAGAGAACGATATTGGCAGAGAGCGATATTGGCAGAGAGCGATATTGGCAGAGAGTGATATTGGCAGAGAGTGATATTGGCAGAGAGTGATATTGGCAGAGAGTGATACTGACAGAGAGCGATATTGGCAGAGAGCGATATTGGCAGAGAGCGAAATCGGCAGAGAACTATATTGGCAGAGAGATATTGGCAGAGATTGGCAGAGAACGATATTGGCAGAGAGAGAGAGTGATATTGGCAGAGAACGATATTGGCAGAGAGCGATATTGGCAGAGAACGATATTGGAGAGCATTGGCAGAGAGAGAGCGATATGGCAGAGAGCAGAGAATTGGCGATATTGCAGAGAGCAGAGAGTGATATGGGCAGAGAACGATATTGGCAGAGAGTGATATTGGCAGAGAGCGATATTGGCAGAGAGAACGATATATGGCAGAGAATATTGGTAGAGATATTGGCAGAGAGTGATATTGGCAGAGAGCGATATTGGCAGAGAGCGATATTGGCAGAGAGCGATATTGGCAGAGAGCGATATTGGCAGAGAGCGATATTGGCAGAGAGCGATATTGGCAGAGAACGATATTGGCAGAGAACTATATTGGCAGAGAGTGATATTGGCAGAGAGCGATATTGCAGAGAACGATATTGCAGAGAACGATATTGGCAGATAGACGATATTGCAGAGAATATTGGCAGAGAACGATATTAGAGATTCTTATTGGCAGAGAGCGATATTGGCAGAGAGCGATATTGGCAGAGAACGATATTGGCAGAGAGCGATATTGGCAGAGAGTGATATTGGCAGAGAGAACGATGATATTGCAGAGAGAATTGGCAAATTGGCAGAGAGTGATATTGACAGAGAACGATATTGGCAGAGAACGATATTGACAGAGAACGATATTGGCAGAGAGCGATATTGGGCAAGAGCAATATTGGCGAGAGCGATTGGAGAGTGAGAGAGATATTGACAGAGAACTATATTGGCAGAGAGTGATATTGACAGAGAACGCGATGCAGAGAGCGATTATGGCAGAGAACGTATGGCAGAACTATCATTGAGAGAGAGAACGATATTGACAGAGAACTATATTGGCAGAGAACTATATTGACAGAGAATGATATTGACAGAAAACTATATTGGCAGAGAGCGATATTGGCAGAGAGCGATATTGACAGAGAACTATATTGGCAGAGAGTGATATTGGCAGCGAGTGATATTGGCAGAGAGTGATACTGGCAGAGAACGATATTGACAGAAAGTGATATTGGCAGTATGCGATATTGGCAGAGAGCGATATTGGCAGAGAGCGATATTGGCAGAGAGTGATATTGGCAGAGAAACTATGGCAGAGAGCGATATTGGCACTTCAGAGAACAATTAAGAGTGATATTGGCAGAGAACTATATTAATCATCATATTCAGAGAACTATCTGGGAGAGAACTATATCGGCAGAAGCTATATCAGAGAACGATATCCAGAGAACGTTGCAGAGAACTACGCAGAGAAATATTGACAGAGAGCGATGACGTCTACCGAGCCACAGCTTGTATTCGTGGTATTGGCAAGAAGGAAATATATCATAAGAGAGCGATATGGCCATAAGAGAGCTTCATAATCGCAGAGATTGTCTGGTGAGAGCAATGGTGAGAGAGCTTTCAGAACTGCTTTGTATAGTTCACAAACGTTCTAGCGAGAGGACGGTAACTGGGCCACCTGACAAAGATAAGTTATTTGAGTAGAATGTCTTGTGCCACAGAAACACAGACTGCATATGAACACATTAAACAAAACTATCTGGTAGATCGCAATGACGACAAACGATAACCAATGAATTTACATCACTTTGGAAAGCCGAAGAGAACCACCAAAGCAGCTTAACAAGCCTTAGCCAACAGTTTGGGTGTTGTGAAGTCTTGCTGGGTAACTGAATACATATATTCATTGTGGCTTAGGGAACCAAACAAAATATCAGGTCCATGAAAAAAACGGAAATGACGTCTACCGAACCCCGAGATGGCCAACCATAATCGCTGTCTGGTGCTAGCAATTGAAACTTTTGAAGTTTAGTAATGTTCCGAGAGGAAGAACTTGAGCTTGTAGGCTTGGGAAACAGGCAATCGTCATTCCACGATGCCACGGCGACCCCTTGTGATTTGACCTAGGGCAGGCGATGCCAGGGCGATAAAATTTAGAAAATTGGAACAATGGTATTACTAAAACTTGTACATGAAGCTACTCACCTCACTGGAATCACAACGTCCCCAACAAGAATTCACCGTCACCGACCCGCTGCACTCTACCACTTGGCCATCGTTGTCGTATGCTTGCGGCTTGGTCACTTGCATTTGGTACTCCCGTATGTGACAGTTCAAGGTCGTGCTGGGGTTAATTAGGGAGGCTGGGGTGGTCAGCAGGCTAATCACCATAACGATGACGGCGATGACTGTAGGGGACGGGCAGGGTAGAGGAAAATCGTGGAGCCGGGGTACAATATTCATAGCTGAAATAATCATAGAATATATCATGTGAGAATACAAACACGGGTTTTAATCAGACTACGTCAATTAATTAAACAATCAATAAGAGAAAAAATCGGAAATAAATCAACAAGCGAATCAACAAGCAAATCAACCAACCCACCAATCAATACACAAATCAAACAAACAACAAATCAGCCAGTCAACAATCCAGCTAAAAAAAAAAAAAAACTATAAATGAACCAAGAAATCAAACAATCAACAAATGATTAAATTAACTAATCCACGAACTAAGAAATAAAACAACCAACAAATGATTCAATGAACTAATCAATAAATCAACCAAACAACAAATAAACTTATCAACCAGTCAACCAAACAATCAACCGACAAATCAACCAACAAAGAAATAATGAAATCAATATATCAACCAAGAAACAAATCAACCAATCAACAAATTAGTAAATAAATAAGTCAGCTAAAGAAAAGTAATAAAAAACAACAACAATAACAACTAAATATCAAAACAACCAATGAATAAACAAATTAACAAACACATCATTCAATAAATCAGTCAGTTATAGAACCAATCAGCTTGTTAACCAGTCAATTAATTAACAATTTAATCAATCTACCAGTTAACATGTCAACCAAATAAGAAAAGCATAAATCAACAAACCAACTAATCAAAAATTATCAAATCAATCAATAAATCAACAAGCAAATAAATAAATGAACTCATCAAAAAATTAGGTTATGGGGTTTGAGGTTTGAACAATGGATCGACATCATAATACAGGGGTAGTAACCCATAAGTGCTCCGTTATTCTTCTAGCTCAAGTCCAAGTCCGAAGATACTCAGCACAGTGCACAGGCTTTGTAGCACCGGCGAGGATCGTGAAATACTTTTTTGTTTAGATTTTTAACTCCAAATTTTGCCCAGGCTTATGATACTCTTTTTGATTTCCAAATGACAAGCAATTTTTTACGTGCGCAGCGATGCAAACGGGCGTCCAATCTCACTACTCAGACAAGGGGGGAATTACTAGAAGTACAAGTACACGTGAAAAATAAAAATTTAGCCCTTACCGGTGATTAAACCCGGAACCACTAGAACTCGAGGCGGACACCATACCTCGAGACCACGCAGCCCCCAAAATCAACCAACCAATTAATAAACTTACAACTTAAGCAACAAACACCCAATAAAACACCCAAATAACCACGCAACCAACCAGTCAACCTACCAGTTTAGCAAATCAAGGAAACAGTCAACCGATGAACCAACCAGTCGACACAATAATCGACTAAAGTGCCAGCAAACCAAATCAGCGACCTGGTTTTTAACCACTGCGGCAGTGATGACATTTAAGCCTAGCAGCCGACAAATTAAATGGCGCACATTTTCTGACTGATGCTAGCGAATGAGACAAATGACGTGTCTTACGCTACTGCTGTAAACATTTCACAATTTCCACCAGCCATTAGTGAGTGATAGTTTCAGGTTCACACATTGTGCTAAGTGTTTGATTTTGGCGTCTGCGTGAGATGCTGCCCAACCAGGAAGGTCAAGACCGCTCGATCTTATAACCGGAACCATACAATTAGGTCATTTAGAATGAATCGATTGCAAAAACTTTCATGAACGATCTCGAAACAACGGTAAGTGCGTCTAGCTGCTTATTCTGCATTAACTCATCTCAGTGGTGGTGCATTGCTGAAGAAGAAAAAAATCGTCACGTTTAACCAGCATCAACGAAGGGGGAGCTTTAGGTTATAAGTGTGACTAGGTTATGTGCGCCATATGATATGGCATAACATTGAAAGCCACCAAGAGCTCTAAAAGGATCTCTTGCAGTTTTGATGCGATCGAAGTAGACAGCCCCAAATACTGTGCCGACCGGCGACGAAGTCATCATAGGCCAACAAATCAGCTAACTAGCACGCTACCTATCCCTGCTACCCCTCCCCTCTCCCTGCCAACACTCTCATAACACCCTAACTGTCAATCAAAAGACATATACCTAACTACCTTTTTATTTTAATCAACCTTTTATTAGTACACTAAATCATTAATAAACTTAATAACGCAGGAGCGCTGGAGCCAGGGAGCCTATCTATCTTGAGACATGTTTACGAGGGTTAAGACCTAAACAATTTGCAAAGAGGCTGCCCCCCCCCCCACACGCACACACACACAGTGCCCCACATTAGATCACGTATGGACGTTCCCTTCTTAAATATGTATTTATGTATTTCATATTATTTTATATATGAAATGTAAAAATACATATTTATCGTCCCGTTTAGCATAAAACTGAAGACTATAAAGGAGACCGCACAGAATATCGAGTTGAATTTAGGAATTCTTTAATCAGATAAAACAAGGAACAGTACAGTGTCACTGTGCAAAACAGGTATAATGCAATGGATATTTTATAAGCTATCAATGAACAATTGGATAGTCTGAGCGAGTCAGTTCAGCTGACATTAATATAGCTTATTCCTCCAACACATAGCTGTACAAAAAATGAAATGGATGATAAATGAAATTCTGCAGATGATTGATCATACAAGGAAGAAAAATAATGATAAAGAAAAATATTTTAGTAGTTATATAAATCAAGAAATAATGAACAAATGAAAAGAGGCTAAAGAAACCTGGCTAAATCATATGTGCACAGAGACTGAAAAATCGCGGAAAAGACACATTCCATGCACCAACAGATAAGCTAGAGATGTCAAATTAGTAGATGTTTCAAATCGAAAAAAATTTGAAATATTAATAAGGCAAAGTGACATAATTAAAAGATGGACAGAGTACTTGAGGGAACTGTATGATGATAATAGACCAGAAGTATATTTGCAGGACAACTGGCTTCAGAAGTTGAGGATGCACTGCATCACACACAAAAGGAAAGGCACCCGGGCCAGACAACGTCACTTTGGAAGAAATTGAAGCTATGGGATATTTTGAAATTGAAAAAAAAAAATCTATTAAATGACAATTATAATAATGGGTACATTCCTAAAGAACATTTAATTTCTATATTTACCGCTCTGCCAAAGAAACTGGGCACTTTAAAATGTAAAAACTATCGTACCATAAATCTTATGAGTCATGTGACAAAAATGTTTCTGAGAATAATAATGAGAAGAATAGGAAACAAGATTAAACCAGAAAATAGTGAAGAACAATGTGGATTTGTGGAAGGAAAATATACAAACAATACCATATATATCATAAGAACTCTTTCATAAAGAGATAAAGAAGTAAAAAAAAATTATATTTACTTACGTTTCAAAGACTATACAAAAGCATTTGATTGTGTGAAACATGAAGAAAAAAAATCAACCTATTGTAAACGGCAAATCTGATGGAAAAGATTTGCGAATTATAAAGAACATGTATTGGCAGCAAACAGCAGCTATGATTTGATTTGATTTGATTTAAGAACCGACATCACAGCACTCGGGGCATTCCCTTAAGCGCTCCGTCCCCATCTTCAGCAGCCAGCGAAGAGTTCTGATACTAATGGTACCAGTAGCATTGTGATTAAACGTCTGTCTTGCCTTTCCTCTGAGTCTCGAGCATCTGCCAGAACCTCTCGTCATTCCCCGCTGCATCAATCTCAGCAGACTGTGGTGATCCATCTGCTCCTCCGAACAGCAGCTATAGCAATTAATAAACAGTTGACAACACATCAGATAATAAAGAGAGGAGTAAGACAAGGATGAATACTATCACCTGATTTGTTTGCATATGCCAGGAATTGTGGTTGGTGATCATATCATAAACAACCTGTGTTATGCAGCTGACACTGTCTTGATAGCGAAAAGTCAGAAAGAACTACAGGAATGGAAAGATGAGGTGGTGGTAGAAAGTGATAAAATGAGCTCCAGTTTGAATAATGGAAAGACAAAAGTAATGGTGATTTCCAAGAAAAGAATAGAGCCTAAATTACAATAAAAGTCGAAGGCGTTTTTTTTTTAGGGCAAGTACAGCAATTTATGTATCAATGTCATTAAAATTTCAAATTGTCAGATTTCCGAACCAATACACAAATAAGGCAAGAATCCAGGCAAGAGTATGTGTCTAATTTTATACGAAAACGCCGCTGGAACTATGTTGGCCACACCCTTAGAATGGATAAATCAAGACTTCCTTACCAAGCCCTCATTTGGACACCACAGGGGAAAAGATCTCGTGGAAGACCAAGGGAAACTCTACGTAGAACTATCATCAGGGAAGGCTCGCTCATGGGCCACTCAAACATCCAAGACCTACAACAGATTGCAACGAACCGCCATGCATGGAGAGTCATGACCTCTGCCCTATGTGCCGCACTCGACACAAGAGGAAAGACTAACTAACTAACTAACTAACTAACTAACAGCAATTTAAGTATCTAAGCACATGGATAACATCCGATGGAAGATGTGTCACAGAGATAACGAATAGAATATGACATGCCAAAACTGCATTTTACAAAATGAAGAGCATTTTATGAGAAATAAATTCGTGTCATTGGATGTAAGAAAAGAATTCTCACATGCTATTGAGAGCCAGTTTTAACATACGGCTGTGAAGCCTGGACAATTAATCAACAAGCCGAACAATATCTTGAGGTCTCGGAAATGTGGTTTTACAGAAGAATCATTAGAATTCCTTGGACAGCTAAGCAGAGAACCGAGATGTTTTGAAAGAGTCGAGTGCTCGGAGACATCACACACATCAGAAAGAGGACAGCCATAAATTTGTTGAGGGGTCATGTTACAGTGACATGTTGTGACCGCTGGAAAGATCCGTGGAAAGAGAGACAGAGGAAGACAGCGTGAGAAGATTTTTGACAGTCTTTTATCACGGCATGGAGGGGTGTCAACACACGAACTGATACACGCAGTTGCATATCACAGACTTTGGAGAGGCGTGATCGCCCACGCCAGTCGGCAAGGCGCTCGATAATGATGATTATTTCAAAAACATAATTATATTATTTGTCATTATGCATATTGTTATT